TGCTGTGACGGATAGGTTGTTAAACTGGCCAATCACTGCTCCATCGATGTACCCATTGGATGCCAATTCCCATCTGTTTCTCTGGTTTCTTGACGTATTCGTAAGTATGCATTTCTGTATGCCTCACCAGTATTCAATTGCCGCCACTTTGGTTGTCATTTTGGTGGTGAGCTAACGATCATTGTCAAAGAAGCAGAAATAATCATCCGTAAACGTGGATCCGCAAGCAACTGCCACACACAATTGTGAGCCTTCCAGGCACACAACCTTGATCTTTGCACCACAGTGAGGAAGCGTTATCTCTTTCGAAAGGAAACTGTCGGTCTATGTTGTACCGTTTCTTGAGCAAGCTCATCAAATGCTTTGCGGCTGAGGTAGTCTGGCACCCCACCGATTGGCTCATCTCCAACTCGCTTACCAGTTTCCTCTAGGTGCCAGCAAGAATATCATCATAGGCATCAGAGGTGTCTTGTTCTTTTGTAAGATATCCATCAGCCTGACGCCCCTTGCCTGCTTTGATTCAGTGGGATGTTGCTACGCGGACTCTTCTCACAGTACTTCTGAATTGCTTGATATTCTGTTGTCAGGAGGTCTCTGATCCTTGTTTGCTTGTCCGGTTGTCGTTTTGTATGATGTGGCCACGGATCCTTCGCTTCTGGATTCCTCATCACTTTCAGTTTCATCCCAATCCTCGTCTGTGGCTTTCCTGATCCTCGTCCTCCGCACTACCCCTTCTCTGCCTTCCCTAAAACCGTCACTTTGGTTGCCAATTTGTGCATTCGCTGCCTGTTTTCTATCATCCTCGTCTCATCCTCATCTTCGTCGTCCTCATCCTCATCTTTAGAACCAGTACGATCAACATTCAAGGGGTCCCATTCCTTGGATCATCTTCCTCTTGCATCTCTTGTGGAATGTTCCTGACTGGATTCTTCCTCTTCCTCTTCCTGTGTTGTTTGTGTGGTGCCCTTGCGGGCCTCCCAGTGTCAGTAGCACTAGATCTGCAGCCCTTGCCCTTGATCTACTCCTTCTTGTTGTCCAGTGTCAATGCCCAGCACTCTGTTCCTGCCTCAATACAAGGTTGATAGGCTTGTATGTGACTTGATAGAGCTCTCTGGTTCTTAAACCAATCATCACAGTACTCACAACGATACCAAACCATTTGTAGATAGGTACAAATCAACTGGTAGCTTACAGAAGTTACTTTTTAGCATATAGAATGTACTAGACACCGTCAAAAATGTGGCTCTGAGGTTCCAATTGACAGTTTCTGGGCTCTGGAGTGGCTCGATCTTATAAAATGAGATTGTACTTAGCAATCCGTAAACTCGTCCTGTGCATTCTGTATGTAGTTTGTCCTCCAAATACATACGCATACCTAAGTAACCGAAAGGGCACGACTGGGTTGGCAAGGTCGTGGCTGTATGTTATCATGCATGCTACCTTACAAATCAGGAGCTCGTCGGATCCGGTTGGATGACCTCACCTCCGAAACTGCTGAATTACTACAAAAGCTTTAACCAGCGACGTCACGATTTATATGCCAAACACGTGGAATTGTATGGTAGGGGTGCTCCCTTTTCGCGCTACCTAAAAATGCGCTTCTTAGATGATGAGATCACCCACCCGAAGGAGGCGTTGCCAGCCTCAGTGTCTGCAGCTCCATTGCTGGCTACCAGAAATGGCCATTGCCTCATAAGCGAAAGAGCATCCTGTGGCCCTTGGGTCCATTCCAATTGCTCGAATAAAGATAGCTCCAGGATTCTAGGGACATGAGAAAGTCGTCAAAAGTGTCCAGACGAGGAGGGGTAGGGCAGACATTCAGGATGTCTGCGTAACCGTTCCCCACAGTAATAGTCTGGCGCTTGTTAAACTTGTTGAGATCCAGCATTCCGGCTGTCTTCATGCCCCCGGTAATCTTGGGATCCAGTGGGACTGCGGTACTTGTGTCATGACTCAGTTGAGAGTAGCTCTCGTTTGAATTCTCCACTCGGTGAATCACTCCAGGTTTCCCTGGAACCTCATTGTAAAAGGCCCAAACCATCTCGTCATTGTCTTGGCACCGCTGGAAAACGAAGCCCTTGTCCACCTGGTAGAAGAAACGGTGCCTCATACGGAGGCGGTCTGCAGAGACTAACCATTGGCCCAAAGGAGTCACGAGCTGCTTTTTCGGTGCAAACAAAGAGAGTGCCTTGCGCCACAAAGTCCAGGTTTTAGAGCACCTTGGTCGTTCCTGGAAGCACTTGTAATTTCTGGTTTCAGGTTGCATTGGGCTTGCCCTGCCCCACCAGTACTCCTTTCTGACAGCTTCGCCATCTGCAGTGACAATGTCTGCCACTGTGACCACTTGGAAAAATAGTCAAACATAGTTGATGCGGGAGATATCTGCTGGACTGAATCCACCATGCTGGCCAACCCAATCCATGATGTAGCTGTCATGCTCCCTCTGTTTGGGCGGGAATGTGCATTGTGCACTTCAATGTTGGCTCCAATAGACTTGAGGAACCTGCGTAGGCAGGCAAAGATGCCCACAGGGAGATGAGCTGTGGATACCACATCCTGTAGAAAGGTGCACCAATTCCACAGTGGAACTGCACCAAAGCTAACGCCACCTCGCTCAGCTCCCAATATCAATGTTGTCACGGGTTCTCCAGTGCTTGATAAATTGCTGCACTAAGCCGATGCCCTGCTTGTCGGCCAATCTATGCATATCAATGCATCCGTACTTCCATGACCCGTAGCATACTGCCTTGCTGGTGTTCTTGCAGTATCCCATCTTCTGTAGTGCCGCTCTTCTGGGGCCACTCTCCAGACGATCCAGTCAATGTCCTTGAAAAATGTCATCTCCAGTGGATAGCACACACGGAGAGAAAAATGGAACGGTAGAACATGTTGCCTCCCTCCTGTTGAGGGGGGAGGATTTAGCACACGTGTGAAAGTGGCACATTTGTTCTTGAGCGCCAGTTTCTGGGCTTTCAGATCTCCACTTGGCCCCTTGTGACATCCAAGAGATTTGTGGTCTTGCCCATTCGCCATCTGCTTGATGGATGTCGAGGTCCCATCTGCTGCTTGAATTGCAAGAGGTGGAGACCACTGGTCACCCTGAATCAGTACAGGCTTCCCCGATTTCTCGAATTCATATCGGAGATGATGGTAGGAGCACTTGCTAGGTTCGAGCTTGCCCCCAGAAGACCAAAGTAGGTCGCTCCACCACTGGGCATCTTTTCCTGCCTTCTGCACCAAGCTTCAATGCTGGGGATTTCATTGGTGCTGAAGCAATTGGTTCTGAGTTCGTGTCATCCACGAACCCAGTCATAAACAGCTGTACACTTTTGGAGCCATCCGGGCTTGCAAAAGTTGCCCATGGGCATGGTCTTCAAAGCAATCAAAAAGAGTGCTGGATATAAACAGCCACAGAGTTGGAGAATTCCCTGCCCCCTGGCCAGAACCGTGACACGGATGGTTAGCACAGTGTGCGACAAAGGTTGTGGACGTCCCCAAGGTCGTCTTGATGTGATACCCCTATAGCTAGCTAACTAGAAGCAGACACCTCTAGTGCTAGCTAGTGCTTAACTTGTGCTTAGCTAGCTAGAAGCAAATTCCCCCTAGCTAGTAGAAGCAGACACCCTAGCTAGCTAGAATACTGTTATATAGCTTTGCTGGCTTTAGAGTTTTCCTGGTAGAAGCAGATTCCCCTACTAGGATGGATGTAAATTGCTTTAGCTGGTTTCACCATCCTAGCTAGGATACTTACTTAGTTTTTGCTGACTTATTTGTATTCTAACCCTACCTTATACCTGCAGGGACACCGTACAGGAAAAATAAGCCAGCGGAGCTGTGTAACCTCGGCAGAAAGGTTTCAGTGTAGCAGCAGATACCCCTATTAGCTAGCTAGCTAGAAGCAGATACCTGTAGTGCTTAGCTAGTGCTAACTTGCGCTTAGCTAGCTAGAAGCAGATCCCCTAGCTAGAAGCAGATTCCCATAGCAGATAGCTAAAGCAGATACCCCAAGCTAGCTAGAATAATAGTTATATAGCTTTTGCTAGCTTTAGAGTTTTTCCTGGTAGAAGCAGAACCCCCTACTAGGATGCATGTAAATGCTTTAGCTGTTTTTAGCACCATCCCAGGATACTTATTTAGTTTTTGCTGACTTATTTGTATTCTAACCCTACCCTTATACCTGCGGGACCACCGTAGCAGGAAAAACAATAAAGGGTGAGGGCTCTGCAGCAAGACTGCCGAGGTCAATTAAAGGGTTGAGGCTCTGGCAGCAAGACTGCCGAGGTAATAGAGGCCTATTTCGACGGCTCTCTTGTTGAGCCCACCTTAGCAACTCCCACGGAAGTGAGTGCTGTGAGTGTGCTCGGGTAGAAGCTGAGTACATGTACCACTTGTTCACGAGATCCCGCTCCAACTTTCGATCTTTCCTCCAGCTGGGGACATCCTCCACGCCGTGGATCTTCATTAGATTTAAAGTTTGGCCTATTGGGATTTAGAGCAAGGTTTCGACCTTTGCAGTGCACGAATGCTGCAGCTTCATCTTGCGGTGGATCGGGTTTGATGATCGATGGACTTGCACGCATAGCTCACGCATGTACCGTAGGCATGGTGTTTCCTACAACTAGAAATTCTGGATGTTTCTCATCAATCTCGGGGAGTGAGATAAGAGCTGAGATAAGCAAGCTATGCATGGAAGCCTGAAGTATTGGTACTATAGAAACATTCGCAGTAAAACCTACCTAGCAGAAAGTTTCGTGAAATGAGCGCCCTGTGCAAATTGATGCATCCTTTTGAATGTCCCTGCATGCCTTGAATAGATATTGAAGGCGTCTCTTCTGCTCGTTTGTTGTTTGAAGGCATCAGCGGGCAGTTTCGCCGCGTCGTGGACTCTCGAACCGCCGTACCGGACAATGTGTCGCCAGAATCGAATCTATAGCCTTTTTTTGGTTCGAAGGGGAGTCGAGTCCGACCAATGTGATCGGACTGGATGGTTGTACTGCGACTTTAAAAAATGCATTGCTAATAACTTCGGTTATGTGGGCACTTGGTCTCACAGAACTCTATAGATTCCCATGAATAGCCCGCTGAGAGTGCACGCTCAGCAAGGATATCAAGTTCGTGTGGCACAAGAGCAACCACACCCGCACAGCTTGTCAGTGCAATCAAGCAACACTCCATAAGGTTCTTCACATGGGTCAAAACTGTTCTGAATGCAGGTGCCATTGATCTTGCAAACCCCTGGTGAAATAGTCCCAGTGAGCATTGGATTCCCTCCCAACTTGAGTGAGTGCAGTGCTTGAGACAACTGACCAAGCTGGCTTGGGATTTGGCCTGAGAAATTGTTGTTCTCCAGTGATATCTCTCTCAAATTGGCAAGGAGCCCTAACTCTGATGGAATCTGGCCCGAGAGTTGATTGCCTCTCAATACCAATGAAATGCGAAGATTTGTCAATAGACCAAGCTCCTGGGGAACTGGGCCAGTTAGAAGGTTGTCCCGGAATGTCAGCAAGGTAGTCTGTGTCAGAAGACCTAGCTCTGTGGGCAAGGTTCCTTCCAGTGAATTGTTGAACAAGGAAAGAATCCTCATCTCTTCAAGAATGCCTATTTCACTAACAATGGTCCCCGAGATTCTGTTTTCTTCCAATGTCAACGTATCCAAAGCCTTTGCCAATCCAATCTCTGACGGGAGCGTGCCTAGGAATAGAATTCGTTTACAAGAGTGACAGTCACAACAAGAGAGGATCAGTCAGTCAAAGATTCTAATCTCCTTTGGAACAAAGGGTGCCAATTAATTTGTCATGCCAAACATTTGACTACGCCATCCAGTGACTTACCAGAAAGGTCACAGACAGTCAAGCTAAGCCACCGCAACTGGGAGAAAACCCCAATTTCTGTGGGGATGCTCCCACGGAGGCCATCATTGAAATTTAGGAAAAAGCTGCTCAGGTTGGTAAGCTGCCAGACTTCTGTGGGAATACTCCCTTGTAGATTGATGCCGGGAAGTCCCAAGATTGTCAATGCTGTCAAGAGGCCAAATTCGGAAGGGATGGTTCCTCCATGATCTGAATTGGCAAATGCCAGCCCTTGGAGCGCCGTCATTTGTCCGAGAAGTGTCGACAGGGGGCCAACAAGCATATTGAAACCCATTGACAGAGTTTTAAGGGTAGTCAGCATGTATAGCTCTTCGGGCAATGAACCCACAAGATTATTCTGGTCGAGCCACAGATGCTCGTAGATACCGGTATGGGTATCACACTTGCTGGTCGGTAGCTGAAACTCTTGAAGGAAGCCAGTGTACAAAAATGCAATTTTGGACTTCAGTGCAAACTCTGATCTTGTGAACCATTCACATTCATGGACTGTGTGATTGAGCCAGTTGTCATTGTGCGCCCAGATGTTTCCACCTGTGGCATAGTAGATAGTGGCCAAGGCAAAACGCTGTTTGATTCGGTTCATGAATACAGAAGAATTGTTGTTTGAGTAGTCATCATCGAGTTCAATCATGTCGTCGAGCAGCCACTGGAACGCCAGTGATTGCAGTGACTGCACATCTTCCATGATTTTTTGCTGGGTGTCCTCTGGTAACAGGGACAAATAGTATTGATCCAAGGTTGTTGGTGCCTCAGACGGGTTGCTGCTAGGCATACTTGTTGGAGTATCTTCTTCATCATTGGATGATTCTCCCCCGGAAGGTACAAGAACGGTCACCAATATGATGATAACGGCAATCAAAATGACAAGTCCCAATAGAATGTAGGTGCAGGATTGCTTGGTTCTTTGGGCTCTTCGATTGGCCGCTTCCAAATCAACACTTTGTGCTCGGGGCAGAGCATTGAGTACTTCGGAATTTTCGTCTACCAAGTTTGCCACAACGAGTCCAGTGGTATCGTGGCTTGGT